GGGGAAAAGAAGGAGTTCAGGTTTAGGTGATGGCTGGCTGAAGTCCCTCAGCAAAGGAGCTGTAAGGCTGTAAAATCCTCATCCAAGCTGTGGGGCCTTTTCTCCCCGGCCAAGCTGTAGGGCTGTATAACCCTGGCCAAGCTGTAGAAGACAAAGCTTTCTACAGGAGCTCTTGGTATTATGTCCTGCATGGAAAGCTGCTCTGTGTGGACTGAACCCAAAAAGGCTCCTATTCCCTCCAAAAACCCAAAGGGGGTGGGACCAGGGAACCTAACTATAATTGACAGGTGGCTTGCCCTATGATTGCAGCCAAAAGAAGCCACCTATCTGCAGAGTCCCTGAAACTTAGGACTATAACAAACATTAAATGCAAAGCAAACAAAATTGGAGCTCCTGGAACAACTGTTCCAGAATAGTTTTGATCAAATTGTTGGTATCCAACTCAATACAATAACGAGACATAGGGCTTTTTTTTTTTGCACCACTGAACAAGGAACTGTGTATAAACGTATTATACTGCAGTGGCTAACAGAACGAGCTTTTAAACTCACTAGGGAAGGACAAAAATGTAAAATTTTACCGACTGTTTCTTTCCCCATCTTAAGACCTGTTCTGTGAAATACATACACAGGAGTAAACCCCCCTCCAGATGGATGCATGACTAAACAAATCCTGTCTTGAAGAAAAAATGAAACAAAGTTCTCAGACATCTCTAAATCTTACTTCAGTTATCTGACCTCAGCAGTGAACCCACCAGGCCCTGGAGAAAGATAAAGCTGCTCAACGTTGTAGAGGAAGATGAGGTGATTTGAAATGCTCTGTGGGTTTGTGTACATTTCTGCCCATTCCCATATGACCATACCCTTTCAGTTTCAGAGCTAATGATGGGAAAAATGAAATGTGAACATATTTATTTGTTTGCTTGGTTCATATGTTTAAACAAGTGTGTTTAAGTGACTGCTTTTATTCTGAAGAAGAAAAGCTACAAGTCTCCAATCTGAATTAAAGCCTCGTATAGTTTTCAGTGCTCCCCCCAACCGCAATATGCTGATAATAATAATAATAATAATAATAATAATAATAATAATA